CTTTTGGAGCCATGGAATGAAGTCATCACAGCTCCTTTCTCTCCTATCAGAAAAGGCAGGAGATACCATTTCTAGAGACCTAGAGAAATGCTTCTCACTTTCTGCTGTAATGAGACGCTTTTAGTTTCTTTTAAAACATGAATACGCTAAAAATTAAAAAACCTTAATAGTATCTGGGGTGACAGTTACTTATTTCAACTTTTTAGTTGAATAAAAGTCTATATAGATCAAATCATCCTTCAAGTTTGTTTTTTTTTTAGAAACTACCCAGTGAACAGAGGTGGCTGTGATTTAAAAAAAAAAAAAAATCGCAGAGAATCTAAAATAAGCAAGCATTAACTTTAAGAAAAATGACAATGGCAAAGCTTTTGAGACAATTTGACTGAACTGCAAGAAACCGCAGACAGAAGAGACAAACTCACACAAATGGTATGCGAATGTTTAGTATTCACACTGCAATTAGGTACAACAGCTGCTCGTTTTTGCTATTTATATAGATATTAAACCATTAACAGTTAAAAGAGCAAAATATGGCACTGATGTGAGAACAGCCATTTCAAAAACAGGAGGAAAAAAAGTAAGAATAAACACTCAACTGAGAACAGTCAACCATCTGGAATTTTAAATAAAACTCAGATTCCACAGATGCAAACAAAGAAACAAAAAGACTCGAAAAGGGCAAAGAAAGAAGGCGCTTCCAGAAAACATGTCTGTGACAAATACTGTGCTTCCCCCAAACTCACAGTGTCGTCGTGGGTCTGAACACCAGTGGCTTCCAAGTCGGGATCAGGATTCCCAGTTTTAATTTAACGAGAAAGCTAAGGGGTGTGGATATTTACAAGGACCATGTGGTGTAATGGCAAAATGCCTTAGTGCTGTTCGAGTGGGGATTTCGTACCCCACTTAAAACCCAAACCAGAAACCAGAAACATTCACTGAGGGACATGCATTCTGTTTTTATTTAGTAAGGCTTATTTTCCCAAGTCCATCTACAATAAAAACACTTTCCTAATGAACGTGTTCGGAGTTTTCTAAATGCCTGACTCCCAGCGTCATGCTCAGTTGCTTGACTTCACCCTGAACACTGAGCGGCATGAGGCACTGGGCCAGGGTCTGGCCTGAGCAGCAGTGAGGCCAGGGTTCTCCCTCCTTCTCTGGCTGCTCCTCTGCTCACTGTTCCTCAGTTATTCTCACCCAGAAGGCTCCACATGCAGCAATTTACCTAGACTTCAGTGATCTTTTATCTGTTTTTCAAAACAATCCTGTCTTCACATTCCTTGAAATTCTAATCCCTAGGCCGGGTGCAGTGGCTCATGCCTGAAATCCCAGCACTTTGGGAGGCTGAGGCAGGGGGACTGCTTCAGGCCAGGAGTTTGAGACCACCAGCCTGGGTAACATGGTGAAACCCTGTCAAGAAAAGAAAGAGAGAGAGAAAGACAATGAAAGAAGGAAAGAAAGAGAGAGAGAAAGAAAGAAAGAAGAAAGAAACTAAGAAAAAAAGAAGGAAGGAAGGAAAGGGAAGAAAAGGAAAAGAAAGAAAAGAGGAAGGAAGGAAGGAGGAAGGAAAGAAAGCAAGAAAGAAAGAAAGAAAAAGAAAAAAAGAAAGAAAAAAGAAAAGAAAGGAAGAAAGGAAGAAGGGAAAGCAGGGAGGGAGGGGGAAGGAAGGAAATCAAGAAATCCTAATTCCCTTCATGGAATGGCTCATGCTTCTTGCCTGATCCCTTCTGAGGATATAAAGCTGTTACTTGCAACCCCTCATTTGGAGAATCTCCAACAGTAAGAGTTTTGGATACAGTGCCAGGGTGATGGGTTAAGATTTCAGGGCAGCAATCCTTCCCCAGGGCCGAAAGCTCTTAAAGGCTAGTTCACTCATGCATTCATCCCATGTTCATTATGTGCCCACATGTGCACAGGGCTGCTCCAGGCAGGTGGAAAGCCATGTGAATAAAACAAAGCCCCCTGTCCCCGTGAAACTGAGTGGATCCAGAAGTAAGAGTAACAGGGTAAAGGAACAAGGAGGGATGGGTGTGGGTAAAGGGAGCTATTTTAAACAGGGGCAGTCAGAGACGACATTTGAATAGAGACTTGCACAAAACATGGGAGTGAACTTACAAGGGTCTCGGAAATACCCTCCAAGCAGCAGGCAGAGCAAGTACAGATGCTCTGTGTGAAGGAGCTGGCCCTGTCTGAGGAACAGCTGGATGCCAGTGCTACTAGACCAAGGTAAAGGGGACAGGACTGGAGGGCAGGCCGGGGCTTGACCACAGACAGCCTCGCCAGCCACAGTAAGCATGTTGGAAGACTTAAGAAAGGAAGTGATGGCTGGGCGTGGTGGCTCACAGCACTTTGGGAGGCTGAGAAGGGTGGATCATTTGACGTGGAGTTTGAGGCCGGCCTGGCCAACATAGTGAAATACAAAAAAAATTAGCTGGGCGTGGTGGCACATGCCTGTAATCCCAGCTACTTGGGAGGCTGAAGCAGGAGAATTGCTTGAACCTGGGAGAACCTGCGGTGAGCTGAGATCGCACCACCACATTCCAAGCCTGGCTGATAAGAGTGAGACTCCATCTCAACAACAACAAAAAAGGAAGTGACATGGTCTGATCCACATTATTCCAAGGTCAAGCTGGCTGCTGCTGGGGGACGCTGCTGCACTTGCACTCTCTCTAAGGGAGAGCTGGTGGCAGCTCTGAGATGGAGATGGGCAATTAGATCACTGGCCGCAGGGTAAGCATGGAAGCAGAGAGATGAATTAGGAGGCTCAGCAGATTCCCCCACGTGAGCGCTGATGAGGCACAGGATGTGGTAGACAGGGATAGACGTGGAAGAGGTGGTGAGAAGTGTCTGGACTCAGATCATTTACTGAAGGCAGAGCCAACTAGACTCGTTAACAGATTAGAGGTGGCGTGTAAGAGAAAAGCCTGGGTGACTACGTTTTTGGCCAGAGCACCTGAGTTTAAGAAAAGGTGCCCTATTTATTAAGAACTGGAGGGAGTGCAGATTGGAATGGAACATGGATATGTACTTTGGGGGATCACAAGTTTGTTTTGGGGCCAGGCCCAGTGGCTCACGCCTGTGATCCCAACAGTACGGGAGGCCAAGGCAGGCAGATCACCTGAGGTCAGGACTCTTGGACCAGCCTGGCCAACATGGCGAAACCCGTCTCTCTTAAAAGTATAAACATTAGCTGGGCAGGGTGGCACACGCCTGTAATCTAGCTATTCGGGAGGCTGAGGTAGGACAATGGTTTGAACCTGGGAGGCGAAGGTTGCAGTGAGCTGAGACCATGCCACTGACCTCCAGCCTGGGTGACAGAGTGAGGCTCCGTCTCAAAAAAGAAAAAAGTTTGTTTTGGGGTGAGTTAACAGGGTCACTGCACTGCAGCATTCGGGGCCATCATTCCCACCTGCTGGACTCAGGTGTCTGCTGACAAAGGTGCAATGGTGATGATGCATTAGGCATCTAAGGAGAGATGTCAAACAGACGCCGAACAAGATTCAGGTGAGATATCAAACATGAGTCCAGTAATTCTCAAAATTCCCCGAAGGAAAAGAAAGCATTATTAATTCCAGCTTACACAAGGAGAAACACGAAATCCAAGATCACATTTCAAGCCCATGAAATCAAGAAAAGAATTTAAGTGTCCTGTTTACTAAGTATGTTATCACATGAATGATAACATTTAAAAAAATTTTTTTTTTTTAGAGATGGGGTTTCACCATGCTGGTCAGGCCAGGCTGGTCTCGAACTCCTGGGCTCATGATCCATCCGCCTCGGCCTCCCGAAGTGCTGGGATTACAGGCATGAACTACTGCACCCAGCAAATTTTTTTTTTTTTTGAGATGGGAGTCTCGCTATGTTGTCCAGGCTGGTCTTGAACTCCCGGCCCCGAGCAATCCTCCTGCCTCAGCCTTTCAAGTAGCTGGAAAACATTTTTTATTTTTATTTTTTTTGGCTCACCAGACCAGTGGTTTTGCAGATGAAACCACCACAGTGGTGAAAGGACCCACTCTAAATGAACAGAACGCCACCTTTACATGTTCTTTCAAAACAAAGAAGATGGCTGGGCGCGATGGGTAATGCCCGCGACCGTAGCACTTGGGAGGCTGAGACAGGCAGATCACCTGAGGTCGGGAGTTTGAGACCAGCTTAGTCAACATGGTGAAACCCTGTATCTACTAAAAACACAAAAACTAGCCAGGCGTGGTGGCGGGTGCCTGTAATCCCAGCTACGTGGGAGGCTGAGGCAGGAAAATTCCTTGAATCTAGGAGGCAGAGGTTGCCATGAGCCGAGATCGCACCATTGCACTCAAGCCTGGGCAACAAGAGTGAAACTCCGTCTCAAAAAAAAAAAATCAGAAGTGAACTTGTAAGTAGCTAGATTATATACATAAACTCCTTTTAGTTTTTGCTTTCCTTACTGCCAAGCTTTACCTATTTGCTGTTATCTCTTATAAGAACATTTTGTTTTCTTAAATGTATTGGAGCCAGTCCATGCTGCAGAACTTGATGGTAGGAAATTAAGCCCCTTCAGAAGGTCCATAAATAGGACCTATTCAATATCTAACTTTAAAAAGAATGTTACAGGTTTTAGTGCAGTATCAATTTTCAAACATTTCAGAAACCTTGGGAAAAATTTTAAATGGTCAATTCTAAGTAATGTGGGGTCTGTAAGCATATAGGTCTCAGGTTTATAAACATTTTAGTGAGTCACTGAAAGTATTGTATAATTGTTTCCTCTAGACTCTTAAGATCACTGCTGCCAAAAATTATTCTGCTTCTAGCCAAAGCTTTGTGAGTAATGAACCATATTTTTCCACCTGCAGGGAGAGGTTTTCTTGGAATTCCAGAAAATGTTGGCAAGAACCTCCTGGTCCTCGTTCTGGAGCTGTAAATCTTCACAAATTTCTCATATGTGATTAGTGATAATCATTGCGGAAAAGCCCAGACATACTCAAAGGCTGCAGCTATACCAAACAACCTCTAAAACTCTTTTTTTTAAAAAAAAGACATTTAATCAGCGTCACGATCAGACTATTACATTTAGCAATCAATAGCATGGGTACAAAAAAAAAAAAAGAAAAAAAATCTACATTAAAACCCTTTGTTGGAATGCTTTACACTTTCCACAGAACAGAAACTAAAATAACCTGTTATACAATTAGTCACAAATACAGTCCTCGAGTTTTTTGCCCATACATATGAGTATTTGTCTAAATCATGTCTTCTTTGTAGCAGCTAGGCCCCGCCACCACTGTGCTTGGCTGAGTTCACAAATCTGTTGTAACCTGTAGCTTCCCTGTCACTTCTCTGGCTCTCCTCTCCTGCTAAGCTTTGTTTCCTAATTAAAATCTTCTGCCACTGCCATAGCTACTGCCGCTACTGGAACTGCCATAGCCACCTTGGTTTCGTGGTTTGGCAAAGTATTGGCCGCCACCACCATAGGGGCCAGAGCTTCTGCCTCCAAAGTTTCCTCCCTTCGTGGGTCCAAAATTTGAAGACTGATTGTTGTAACTGCCTAAATCATTGTAGCTTCCACCACCTCCAAAATTGCCTCCACTACCACCGCCAAAGCCGCCTCCGCCTCCGTTGTGACAGCTGTCATAGCTGCCACGCCCGCCATAGCCACTGCCCTGGTTTCCATAACCCTGTCCACCACTTCCAGAGCCTCTGCTTCCTCCAGAGTAACCAGGGCCACCTCCTCCATAACCACCATCATTACCAAATCCATTATAGCCATCCCCACTGCCACCATATCCACCACCACCACAGCTGCCACCAAAGCCACCACGGCCACTGAAGTTTCCTCCACGACCAAAGTTGTCATTCCCACCGAAACCACCTCCACGACCACCACCAAAGTTTCCAGAACCACTTCGACCTCTTTGGCTGGATGAAGCACTAGCCATCTCTTGCTTTGACAGGGCTTTCCTAACTTCACAGTTGTGGTCATTCAAGTATGGTATTTCTGAATGACAATCTTATCCAAAGAGTCATGGTCATCAAAGGTTACAAAGGCAAAGCCCCTTTTCTTGCCACTGCCTCTGTCAGTCATGATTTCAATCACTTCAATTTTTCCATATCGTTCAAAATAATCTCTTAGGTGATGTTCTTCAGTGTCTTCTTTAATGCCACCAACGAATATTTTTTTCACAGTTAAGTGGGCACCTGGTTTTTGAGAATCTTCTCTTGAGACAGCTCTCTTTGCTTCCACAACTCTTCCATCCACTTTGTGTGGCCTTGCGTTCATGGCTGTATCCACTTCCTCCACAGTTGCATACGTGACGAACCCAAAGCCCCTGGAGCGCTTGGTGTTTGGATCTCTCATCACCACACAGTCAGTGAGCGTTCCCCATTGCTCAAAATGGCTCCTCAGGCTCTCATCGGTTGTTTCAAAGCTCAACCCTCCAATGAAGAGCTTCCTCAGCTGTTCCGGCTCTTTAGGAGACTCTGACTTAGACATGATCACAGGGAGAAGAGAGGCTTTAACGATGCTTCTTCGGCGGTATCCACGGGCAGAAAGACTAAAACTCTTTTCTTCAATAAACTTGACCAGTGTTCAAAAGTTGCTGATAAGAGTGCATTTACAGTAGTTCTTCTAGAGGAATATGTTATCAACTCTGAATTACCCACATCTCAGATAAGCGGATTCACACCCATGTTGATCATTCCAGTGACATTTGGAAATCTAGCTGTCGATAAATCTATCAATAACTCTATATGTAATTCTACTCTAATTATCTGATCATAAGTGACCAGAGCTTTATGAAGAACCATAAGTCATGTATATTTAATCATGTATGCTTTGATCTCATAGTCTTACTTCTGGGAATTCAGCTTGAGGAAATAATCTCAATGCACACACAATGCAAACAGCTATGGAAGTAAAGAGTTTACTGCTGTATTGTTTATATAACTAACTAAGTAAACAAATCAAAAACTGGTAATAGCCTATAAATCAAACAACACAGAGTTAGTTAGGCAAATTATAACTTTTTTAGAATAGCACATAGCTACTAAAGTTGCAAATATTTTTTCTTTCTTTTTAAATTTCTCTTCCAATAACTTTGATAAAACTCCAATTATTAAAACTACGCTTTCAGGAAGGCACAATGGATCACTCCTATACCCCCAGCACTTTGAAAGGCTGACTTGGGAAGATTGCTTGAGCCCAGGAGTTCAAGACCAGCCTGGCCACATAGCCAGCCCCAGCTCTAAAAAACATTTGAAAATTTTATATATATATATATATATAAACAAAAACCTATACTTTTTCAGGTAAAAACATTGAAAATGCTTACAATATTAAACGGGCAATCAAGAAGAATATACATTATAGTTATATTAAGATTTCTTTTAGACGGAGTCTCACACTGTCACCTGGGCTGGGCCTTGAGAGCTCACGTGATCCTCCTGCCTCAGCTTCCCTAGTAGCTGGGATTACAGGCACACACCACTACACACAGCTAATATTTTAGTAGAGACAGGTTTCACTATGTTGGCCAGACTGGTCTCAAACTCCTGACCTTGTGATCCGCCCACCTCAGCCTCCCAAAGTGCTGGGTTTACAGGCATGAGCCACTGCACCCGGCCTGAATCTGTATTTTTAAAAAATCAACATATTTTCACCAAAATGTGCCTACCAATTTGTGTGTCAGGACAAACAACAGTTATTCATAGCATTAAAATGCGCTGCGTTGCGGTACAAAAATATAGTATATGTGCAGCATAAAAAGCATCTTTTCTCCTAGACACTTAAATAAAAGCAGTCATCCTATTTTATAGTTACATTTTTGCTTTTTGTTGTTTTTATTTTTGAGACAGAGTCTCACTCTCTTGCCCAGGCTGGAGTGCAGTGGCGCAATCTTGGCTCACTGCAACCTCTGCCTCCAGGGTTCAAGCGATCCTCCTGCCTCAGCCTCCTGAGGATTACAGGCACACGCCACCACGCCCAGCTAATTTTTGTATTTTTAGTAGAGATGAGGTATCACCGTGTTGGCCAGGTTGGTCTCAAACTCCTGACCTCAGGTGATCTGTCTGCCTCGGGCTCCCAAAGTGCTGGGATTACAGGCATAAGCCACTGTGCCCAGCCTACAGTTAGATTTGAAAGCTTAAAGATTAAACAGCTGGTATGGCCACTAAGGCAAGAATGCCAACTTCCCCCTCTACTTCTACTTCCTTTCAAATCCATACAAAAAAAGGAAGGAAACATCATCTTTGCACAGAGAGCCATTTTTCATCATGCTGACCCTTATCCATTCAAATACAGCAAAATGTAGGTAAAAAGTAATTTTCAACCAATATTCTCCACTGAACTTGGGCATTCTTTCTAGATGTAGTAATGAGATCTAGCAGTAATCCTATAAATTCTAAATCATCCCTTTGGGCAGCCAGGATCCTGCCACTGTATCAAATGACCCAATCTGTACTATGCTGATAGTTAAGGATGGTACTTTAAGTAAGGCATTATTTCTAGTCAGTCATGAGAAATAGTAGCTGGGTTTAAAATGTTAAAAGCAGCTCGTTTCCTATGCCATCAATCAATTCCACATTTTATTTATTTACTGATTAATTGATTGAGATGGAGTCTTGCTCTGTCACCCAGGCTAGAGTACAGTGGCACAATCTTGGCTCACTGCAATCTCTGCCTCCCATGTTCAAGAGATTCTTCTGCTTAGGTCTCCCGAATTGCTAGGATTCCAGGTGCCCGCCACCACGCCCAGCTAATTTTTGTAGTTTTAGTAGAGATGGGGTTTCGCCATGCTGGCCAGGCTGGTCTTGAACTCCTGATCTCAGGTGATCTGCCAGCCTCGGCATCCCGTGAAGTCCTGGGACTACAGGCGTGGGCCACCACTCCTGGCCAACAGGCTCCTTTTTCTGTAACAAACCCTGATCAAGAAGCTCTGGGGTGGAACTGAGATTCTGTATTGAGGAACGGAATGATTACAGCAAGAGAAATTGCATATTTGGCACCTATATATCAGTATAGCTGAACATTGTGCCATGAGGTTCATATTTGTCTTCCCACAATCGTCCCCACAACTCCCTTAGATGGCTATGATCAGTTTCAGCTTACGGATGCATAAGTGGATGCTCAAAGAGTTTCCATAACCTGCCCAGGGCAGGGCTGCCAGGAATCCTGAGCAGGGTTTTTGGCTGAAAATCTTGTGTCCTTCCTCTCCTCTGCCCACCACCAAGCAGGGGCTCCTGCTCTGTGAACACAGAACTTATATGGCCTTTCCCCATCCTTTAAGACAGACCTGAAGTATGCTGCCAGCCCCGCATCACAGCCCAGGGGGAAGGCAACTGAATCTGGCCTCAGAAGACCTGGATTTGAGTTCTAACTCTGTTATGCTACGTCCGCCAATAATTAACCTCACCAGAAAACAGAAATGATAGCATTCCACTGTTAAGAGTCATCCTTACAAAAATTAGTGTTTACTAAGTAAAGTCAAGGGAGCCAAAAGTAAAAGCTCTAAAGGAGAAATGTTGGTTATGATGAGAAGGTCTTAAATAGTTCCTTTTCTTTCTTTTTTTTTTGAGACAGGGTCTCACTCTGTCGCCCAGGCTGGAGTGCAGTGGTGCCATGTCAGCTCACTGCAGCCTCCACCTCCCAGGTTCAAGGGATTCTCAAACCTCAGCCTCCCGAGTAGCTGGGATTACAGGTGTGTACCATCATACCCAGCTAATTTTTTTAAATATATTTTTATATTTTTCATATTTTTAGTAGAGAAGGGTTTCATCATGTTGCCAGGCTGGTCTTGCACTTTTGACCTCAAGTGATCTGCCCACCTCAGCCTCCTGAGTGCTGGGATTACAGGCATGAGCCACTGCGCCTGGCCAAATAGCTCTTTTTCTAAGGCTAGCTGCAGATGAAGATAATCCTACTGCTTACTCCAGCATCCTTGAAAGTACGTTGAAAAAAACTCAATGGAAACAAAGCCATGCATGCAAACATGCACTGCCCCACGCACGAGGCAGCCTGGGTGGGACGCCCAGCTCCACCATGGAGCAACACGCCCAGCTCACTTCACCTTCCTGTGCTCCAGGGTCCTTGTCTTGGGTAAAATCTAGAAAACTAGCAGTCCGCATCCCCCAGGGATAATTCGAAGGTTAACTTGTGAAAATGCAATTGAGGTTAGCCATTATAATCTGTAACAAGCACAAGGCTAAAAACTTGGCCTCCCAAAGTCTGGGACTATAGGTGTGAGCCACCACACCTGGCTCCAATATTACTGGAATAATTTTTTTAATTACAGTGATTAGTATACTATAATGCTAATTCATTATTTACTCATTCAAAATAATGGAAACAATTTTGCAGAAAAAAGAAAAGATAGGCCAGGCATGGGGGTTTATGCCTATAATCCCAGCACTTTGGGAGGCTGAGGTGAGAGAATCACCTGAATCCAGGAGTTTCAGACCAGACTGGGCATCACAGCAAGACCTTGTCTCTACAAAATTTGTAAAAATTGGCTGAGCATGGTGACACATGCCTGTGGTCCCAGCTACCTGGGAGGCTGAGATAGGAGGATCACTTGAGTCCAGGAGGTTGAGGCTCAGTGAGCCATGATCGAACCATTGCACTCCAGCCTGGGCAACAGAATGAGACTCTGTCTC